TGCATTGTTTTCCTCTGACCCTCTTGCCTTCAATCTGCCCTGTGAGTATCAAATTTCCCCCCCCCCCGAAACCTCAACTGTCTCTTTCTGATGTTAAGTATAAGTTTCCTTTTTGTTTCCATTTTCTCTAAAACTTCGTCGTTGCTCATATGTTCGGACCATAGTATCCTCAGTATCCTTCTGTAGAACCACAATGCTGTGTTTTCAGTAGAAAGACATGAAGAAATCTTAAGATTGTTCTTAGTTCCCAAATAGTCCACAAATCTTCGGGGCAGCTGTCACTTATTGAGAGTAACCTACGACACTTACCGAGAATCCACAAGACTTACTCTGAACTGATATTGACGAAATTCAACTATTCCCTGGAAGTAAAGATCTTTACATTTCGAATAATAGAATTTAGTTTTGACCCTTTCCGATATTATTTAATCAAAAATCACGACGATGCAATTAACAATAAAAGACTAGAATTAAACAGAATTGCATTTATACAGCTTTTATTAGTGAAAAAAAAGTCTCGTATGATATAAGCCGTTTCTGATTGTCCGGCCGAGCAATGACTTCAGATATTTATTTTAATTTGCTTTTGCGTAATCAGCACCTTTTACGTACGTTGAAGCAATCAATTTACAGAAAATAATTTACTCATTTATTCACTAGTTTGCTATAAAAAAAAAACAAAGATGGTATATTTTGTTAGATCTTTACTATAATTAGATTTTCGCATGCAAGAATTTAAACACATTTTTACAGTTACGATAAGATAATGATCAAATAGTAAACGTTTATCAATCTAACATGTTTCACTTTTATTAAAGTTTTCGTTAGACAATGACAATATATTTTGTTTTCGTTTCTCAGTCTCTGGCGAAGCTTTAATAAAAGTGAAGCATGTCAGATTGATAAACATTTCCTATTTGTTCTTTAGCTTATCTTGTCGGATTCCAATCGATAATTGATCTACAGGGTGATCCGAAAGTCTTGTCATCCCTACATAATATAATTTTTCTCAATTTAGAAGAGCGATAGGGGTGACAAGAATTTCGGACCAGCCTGTATATTCAATCCATTTCCAGTTATATATAATATCTATCTATAAAAAGCAGGATGTGTGTGTGTGTGTGTGTGTGTGTGTGTGTAACGAACACACTTTTTGACAGATTTGCACCAAAATTTACGTGCACATGCTCCAAGTTAGCGGAAAGGCCAAGACCGACTTTGCATTTCCCAACTCTCATCGATAGTGGAAATAATCGATTTTTCATGCTTCTACGGCAGTTTTCATGTAGTTTGCGGCCATTTTCTACTGGCCAGAGTGAGAGCCTATAGCTGGCTGCCACGAATAGGTAGGAAGATTCTATTGGCCAGCGTGAGAGACAACAGCTGACTGACACGAATGTTAACTAGCATGCTAGCATGCAAAAAAATCGATAGTTGCATTCGTCACAAGTGGCAAAAATTTAAATCTGCATGGCACTTTACTCCAATTGGCTCATTCGCTTGCTTAAACTCAACGTTAATTCTGATTCCACAGAACTGGGTTGGGTGTGAAAAAGTATTTGTTGTTAACATTCTTTTTTCATTCGGTTTTTCCAGTTACGAGTCCTTTTTTAAAGCTAATCGTTTTGTGTTCATTTTGTTTAGTTCTTTTTTCGTAACAGATTTAATATTTAGTATAGAGCTTAGAAAAAATTCGCAGTGTGAGATAGGCAAGAAGTGAGGCATGTAGCAACATCAGCACGGCATAGGGCTCTCCTTTAAATGCATGGAAGGGCAAAAATATTTTAAGTCAAGTAATAGCGATTGTTGTATGAGTCGTACGATTTTTTAATCAAGCATGGGCAACGCCGGGCCATGCTGCTAGTAATTCTATATAATGCTATATTCATATGTAGTAAATTGGGGGAATATTGTTTTTTATTAATAGTACTTCTGTATGTTCAATTTAGGACCTAATAGCAACAGAAAACCGATCCCTCTTCTTTGTGCTCCAGAGACACTTATACAAGGTGCTTCAAAAGTAGGTGGACAGTAAATGATTACATTTATTTTGAGATTACACATACATACAATTATACTTACTAACACAATTATTACATTGACAATTAAATTTTATTGTGAACAATGATACAAAAGCCCTTAAATTTTATTGTGAACAATAATACAAAAGCCCTTAAATTTTATCAACGCAGGTGCTCAAACTGTTTTCCATCACAATTCACACAGCTTTGAAGTCTACCTCTAACGCTTCGACAAACTTTTTTGCACAAGTCTTTTTGGGTATTCATTTCTTGAAATGCATCTCTTATGTAATTTTTCAAATCACCGACACTTCTTGGTTTTCGACTATAAACTTTGTCCTTGAGTACTCCCCAAAAGAAGAAATCCATTGGGGTCAAGTCTGGTGAACGTGCCGGCCATTCAATTGGACTTCTTCGTCCAATCCATTTCTCAGGAAATGTTTCATCAAGATACTCACGGACTGTTCTTGAATAATGTGGAGGGCCACCATCTTGTTGGAAATAAAGGTCATGTGAATTAAGCTGTTGCTGTAACAGGGGAACAACTTGATTCATTAGAAATTCGAGATACTTATCTTCTGTGACTGTTCCATCAAAAAAATATTGGTCCTAAAACACCAGAACTTGAAATACCACCCCAAACATTGACACCAGGCTGATTTAGTTGTTGCTCTAATGTTAAATGCATATTCTCACCTTGCGAGTAAACACCATTATGTCTGTTAATATTAGTTTGCCTATTCCATAAAAATGCTAACCTTTACTATTATTACGTTTCCGCGTGTGAGCCTTTAAGTATATTTTTCCTATTATATTTAATATGTAGGGGAGCAGTTTATTAGTTAATAATAATAGAAAAAAACCGATCACTCTTTTTATGTCCAGCAGAATCCTTGCTTAATAATCGTTTGCCCATATCTTAAAAAAAAAAATAGAATATTTCGTTAAACGCTTCCTATTCTTGGGATTTCACACGTGGCTCTTTAAGTATATAAATAAATCACCTGTCCAAAGAAGACAATTCTCAAAAAAAAAAAAAAAAAAAAAAAAGTTAGATATTACAAGCAAAAAAGGGGGGTAATGTATAATACAGAGTAACCCGGATATAAGAGAGATTTTCTCTGGTCCCAAATTAGAGCCTGTATTAATGTATATAAAATACACCAAACCCGGATATAAGAGAAACCTGGATATAAGAGATTTTCTCTGGTCCCAAATTAGAGCCTGTATTAATGTATATAAAATAGACCAAACCCGGATATAAGAGAGATTTTCTCTGGTCCCAAATTGGAGCCTTTGTTAATGTATATTAAATAGACCAAACCCGGATATAAGAGACTTCTTCTCCGGTCCCGACAACTCTGTTATATCCGGGTTACACTGTGAAATAATTTACGGTATATATTGTAAAGTCCATTTAAGTATTACGTTTTCACAATGTTGGAGTCTTGATATATGTCTACAATAATTATTGTTTGTATTCTACTCTCTCATAGAATCTCTCTCTTCGCTTTCCGGTTTTGAAAACATCTTCAGATAGCCCACTATTGTAATATCAAAGGCACTACCACCTGGCATTGGCAGTACAAGGGAGATAACTCTGGTACATTATAAATGTACTAGATATGTACTAGATGTTCTATCTATATATATATATATATATATATATATATATATATATATATATATATATATATATATATATATAATTTTTTATAAAAAAATTATAACATAAGTATGTTATAAAATCACTACAAAAATAGCCATTTTGTTTCAACACACTCTGTGTCTTATCAAGTGATGATGTTGAAAAGAAAATAAATGGTTTTATATATATATATATATATCTTTCATTGAAAACGGTCGTCAAGAGATTTAATTAATCTTTTATTGAGTTTTGTTTTTTAGGGGTTAAAGTATATACGAATTGTCCATAATTATAATCGTTTCGAGCGCTTTCGGCTACTTCTCTAGCCATCATCAAGGATATGGTTTTTGGGGGTGGGGAAATTCTGTGTGTGGCTGCTACATAATAATTTTACAGTGTGGAGTTCGAGCGGTTTGCATGCTACTTCGGGGTCACGTGCCATGCGCGGCCAGTTTATTTTATATATATATATATATATATATATATATATATATATATATATATATATATATATATATATAACTTCCTATTTTATGTATGAGCGGCTAGTCAGGAGTTCTGACTTAACACTCTGCGACTTTCTTCTTTGAGGTTGGTTAAAGGAGCAAGTCTACTATAATACCAAACCAAAACTTTTGAAGAGTAAAGACAAGAAGTTATGCCTTCCATACTAAAAGAGTTCCTGATAAAATCAGTTGACGCGATTCCTGGGTGACTTAAGAAGCTGGTAGCGAAATCTGGTGCCCATATCAAATTTTAAATAAAACCTCATGCTAAACGCTCTTATATCCATTTCTTGTCAACATTATATTTAATAAATAAATAATAAGTATTTTAAAATGGGAGTTGCTTTTCAATCACCCTGTGTATATATTTTATAGCCTTGGATGGCAACTGGTCTATCGCGGGAAAAAAAAATCTGCCACGTCAGTCTTGTATCGAAAGATACATGATCGCCTAAGCGTGTATCACGCATAGCACATAACTGACTATCTATTACACGACCCGCACATCCCAAGCGATAGGGTTAATCCACCTAAAGTGATATCTTTTCCTTTGCATCAATATTAATCGTTTACACTGGAGCATCCAGCTTCAATCTACAGCAAAATAGGCACACTTGTTTTTTTTTTAGCACAAGCACGGACTTCCTCATTTATGCACGAACTGGTTTTCTTTAATTTGAAACAGCTGTCTGCAGGTAGCCACGTGTGTATTTTAACTGTCAAATATTCTGTTTTCGGGCTTATATAAACGTATGACTCTTGTGGGGGGGTCGTCTAAGGAATTGGTACACACAGTTTTTTTTTTTTTTTTTCAAAATAAGACCTATGTGCATCCGCTCCCGTGCTTTATGTCCCTCTTCAAGACCGTGCGCCCGCGTAAACATCTGAGACAGTTATAAACTCTCGAATTTGTACGTGACACTTGGTGCGTGACGCATACTTATATAAAGAACTTATATATATATATAAAATGTATGTGTGCATGTTATAGAAAGCTTATTAAAGCAAATATTTGTTAAAAGAAAATACGACGAATTAGTAAGTTAGGAAACTAGAATTGACGAGCCGAGTTCAAATTCCGGCTTAGTCTGTCCCGTTCATTTTCGCACTATTGGCCTCGGGAAAGGCATGATTCTATCGTTTCTACTTCTCCCCCAGCTACGAGTTAAATAGCAGGGTAAACTCTGCTCTCTATCCTTTCAATGGCAGCCAATCTAGGAGAAGGAAAATTCTGAATTAAAAACCGTGTAGATGGCAATGTGAAGCCTCTCCACTACTTTTTAAAAGAATACTTAGCAGTTAACAGAACATAAAGGATTTTTTTTTTTTTTTTCACTGGTACTTAACCCAATACAAGGCCCAAGAGCCACTCATGTTCGAAGTTACAGAGTGAGATTGTAAGGGAGGGTACGTAAGAGTATTCTGAGAAAGTAGAAGAAATATTGGTTGACTTAAGGAGACCAAGATTGTAGTTGTCAGGGAAGCATTCTCTCGGGAGTTTGTTCGACAGAGCAAAAGTTTTGATGAAAGAAACTAAGTTGGACTTTTTATCAAAGAAACACGGGTTTAGACGGTTTGCCACCGTGAATACGGTATGACGGGTCCTAACTCTGAATGTCCAAGCTTATGGAACTAAGGAATGTAATTCGTTCAAACATCTGTCATCGTAATAGCGACATAGTACTAAAACGCTGGCGATGTTTCGTCTGTGGAATAAGAGTTGCAGAGTGGAGTATAATTCATCACCGGCCGCGTGGAGAGCCATGATTCCCTAAATCTTGAAGGGACATGGAATTAAATTTTAAAAAAAAATGACTACACCCGGGTGATCAGAGTTCAGGGAGCCATTCGAATAGAATTCCTGCCAAAGGAAGTGACGATTAATTTAGTACAACACTAGAGAAACATTTGCGAGCATCCAAACAATGGGGCGTCCAATTTCCCCAATAAGAGTAACCAAATGAGAGAAGAACAGATTGAGTAAAAATTCACAGTTCGTAGAATTTACTTTTTAAAAAAAAATTGCTCAATACAAAGTAGAGCAAAATATAATTATTATTAATTTAAAATGTTTTTATTATAAGAGATTTTAATAAAAACATTTTAAATCGTTACACAAAATCTTTCATGTTTCAATACGATGATTGTACTTCCTCAGGCGATGGTTTGGTAACTGGTGATAAAAATGATTTATTAGGGAATTTAAAAACAAATCGTCACTTCTTTTCTGAAAGTTTAAGGGAGGGCATAAGGTCAGAATTAAAAATATACTTGTAGGCTTGTCTCGATTAACTAATTAAATGTCGAATCTACGCTAAATAGAAAAATAAGGTCAGAAGGTGAGGTGGGTGAATTTTTATAGACCTGATGAAGTACAATCCTAGTATTGAAACATGAAAGCTTTTGTGTAGCGATTTCAAAATGTTTTTATTAGAATCTCTTATAATAAAAATATAATAACAATAAGAATAGTTACCTTAAAAGCCACCAGTTTGAAGATTTCGGGGTTTGGGAAACCTGGACATTTCCCATGATTTGCACCAGCTCCGATGGTAGACGAGCCGGGATATGTTGAGATCTTTACGCGGTACATAAGACGGAATAAACAATATGTGTTGTCTCATTTTCTTTTCTTTTTTTAATGCCATTTCCATTCAGGATCGTTATTATTTCCATGCAAATGTCCTGATGAGCTGCATTCATTAGTAACGCCATTTCATGTACACAGGGTTGAATTATCCGCATTCCTTTCGTTAGAGGAAGTTTCATACAGACAACTTCTTCTTGAGAACTTCTACTTTGTGAAACAGACTCCCAAAATGGAAGTTTCCCTCATCATTACAAACATAACCTTATTTTCAAGCCAAGGGCCAACCTTTATCTATCCTACATATCTTTATAATCTGCACTTACGTCCTCCTCTTACGTCCATACAACACTCTCATTCATTAACACTCTACCTTGAATGACTCTTAGGCCTTGCATTGAATGAACATTTAGTGAAAAACTACTGAACTATGAATAAAAGTTAGTGTAGAGCGATGGGAAAGAAAGATACATTTGAGTTTCAGGGCGATTTTTATTTTATTTTTTTTTTTACAGTCCACCCGGTACATCACTATTCCAATCACCCCTTTTATTAAATATTCATGAAATTTTCTCATACCCTTTAATTTATTCTGTAAGCATTCAAGGACAAATGGTTTCTTACTGAAAATTTATAAATAATATTTTCTAATTTCATTCACCCTTTATATTCCAATCTCCCTGTTTGTTTGAAAACAGTTTTGAATTTAGAGTTTTGCCTTCTCCTAGACCGGTTGCCATCCAAGGCTATAGAACCCAGTCTGACCCGCTTATTACTCATAGCTGAGGGCACGGTGGAGTAATGGATAGCGGCTCTGATTAAGGAATCGGAGAGCCGAGTTCGAATTCCAGTCAGATCCTTTACATTCGCTTACATGGTAATACTCTTGAGAAAGTTATGAATCCTTTTCTTCTCCTCTCAACTATGGGTAAATACCAGGACAGACTGGGTTCTATAACATTGTAGGAGAAGGAAAAACTCTGAATTCAAAACCGTCCTGGAGAGGGTTAGGCTCCGTCAGGTTATCTTGTCCAAGAAACACCACTTCTACTGTGGCTGCAGTACTCATGGTGCTCCTATGACCCTATGGGTCACGAGATAAAAAAAAAAATATATGCATTTATTTTTGTCCTGGTGGAAAAGAAAAACATTTGATTTGGGAGAAATAGGATGCGGTAGAGATAATAATTGTAAGGAAAGAGAAAGTAACACTAAATCATCAACTACGAAATTACCAAAGAACATAACTGTGTTGACAGATGACAGTCATTAATCTAGTAAAGACACAAGATGTTAAGCAATATCACACGTTACAATGTCAGAACGCCTAATTACTATGTAGTGGAACCAGGCTGCATGAACGATATACGTGCGTGTGTTTCCGTGTGAGGAAAGTTGTCATGAGAATCCGTCCGCAGGGAAAACCCAAAATCCGCCAAAAAACTGTATACACATTTCAGGAAAGGAAAAACTTGTAATATTAAATTTATTCAGACATCACTAGATTAATCCAACTTACCTTTGGACTCTATAATCGCAAGTGAGGATTAAAATAGTGGCCTTTAGCTTCCAGACTCTGTTGTACAAGACATTTTTCTCTTCTGAATCTATTTAACATAAGTCAATCATTCGTCTATAGATTAGATATGGCTGCCACTGGTCTGGTGCTTCTGCTATGCATTTATAGACTCTTGATAAAATACAAAGGAGACTCTGCAATGTTATCACTCCTGGCCTGGCATCTCGGCTTCAGTCACTTTCCCATCGCCATAATATAGCTGTGCCTTTTCTATAAATAATTTCATAGATATGGTTTTGATGGATTTTCCTCTTTTTCATCAAGTTAACTTAGCGAGGGGATATATGCTTATTGGCCTCTGTTATTCCTTTCCCCGCATTCTTTAGTTTAATTCCCGTCCCTCGTTAGGTCACACAGATGTCAGTTCTCCGGTAGATGCGGGGCGCTTTTCGTTTTTCGAGTGTGTATTTCGTATTTGCTTTTGTGGTTGTTCTTAATTACCTTATAGTCCTGCGTTAATTTCGTCTAGTTAACTGATTTTTCTGCCACATTTAAGGATTGTGTTTTTTATTTTATTACTAATACTATTTTGTTTAGTTTCTTGTATATAAAGAATATTCATTGTAAATATTCATTGGGGTTTCATTTTTAAATGTTGTTATTTTTATTAACCACTCCCCAGCAAACAAAGTGTACACATGGGCACTAGTTAGGTACCTCGACGTGGTGTAATGGTTAGCAAGCTTGTCTCGCTACATCAGTTACGACTAAATGGCGAATTCGATCCTCAATGGGTGCCTCAAAATTTCGGCCTTGTGCCACATCTAAACTACGCTTAGAAAATTACGGGCAACTCAACATGGTGAAATAGTTAGTAAGCTTGTCTTGCTAGAACCATTACAACTGAGTAGTGAGTTCGATCCTCACTTGGAACCCCATACTTTCGGCCTTGTGCCACATCTAAGCTGCGCTTAGAAAATCACCATATGGGGACTAGTTAAGACTTCATAGAGACTGTGTGGTATTATGGTGGCTGTAGTAAGAATGGTAAGAATGTGCTGTTTTGGTGTAAGGAATACTGTTGTATGTTTGGTCCAGTAATTGTGGCTAGCAAAGTTTAGGAGAAGACAGATTGAAGACCTACCTCTCCCTATTCCTCCTTTTGGCGTTCTGCCACATTTTTGTATTATAACAAAATGAATATTACTTTCCTCTTTGGTACCTAGACTTTATAAATTTAAGCATACTACTAGATTGGCGGCAGTATCCGATCATTTGGCAGTTGAAATAGCTAGATGTAAGCGCAAGTTCTATGCTGATCGTTCCTTCTCTCGCACTTTTCGCTTGTGGAACTCTCTTCCGGCTTTCTAGTAAACTTTGATCTTCCAAAATTTAAATGCAACGTCAGTCGTTATCTTCTGTCTTCTTAATTTCTGTTCTGTTATTGTCCTCTCTCAATAATGTTTTATTTTTCTCGTATTCTTGTCCTCTCTCGATAAAGTCTTATTTTTCTCGTATTCTCTCAATAAAGTCTTATTTTTCTCGTGTTCTCTCTCACTCAGTAACCCCTTACGTCTTAGTTGTTTTACTCCCTTGCTTGTGGTGAAATGATTTTTTTTAATTATCGTTTCGCGTATCGCTATATAAAGACCGTTAAGCCAATTCAAAGATCTCTTTAAAATGATTTGCCTCATATTTTTCTGGGTTTCTTAATAGAAGTTAAATATTTACCTGTTTTCGAAACCTGATCACTATGTCGGTAATAATTTAATATTTATGCGTATTTTTCTGACGAGAAAATTATTCTGAGTCAGATGGAAACTGCAGGGACACAGAGTCGCGCCTTGTGACTTCTAAATATACACAACCGAAACCCCCATGGTGGCTGACGGACGACCTAGTTTTAGTTTTTTTTTTTTTTTTTAATTTAGAGCGCCGTCATGACATATGCTACAGACCCAGCACTAGATTATTCTGATCCTGTTCTCTACAACGGGATCATCTAAATACCGAAAAAAAAGGTAATGGCGAATTTGATTTGCGATAGGCCATGTGTTTATAAAAGCAACTTTTTTCTTTTCTTTTACAAAAGATACCAAAATCATAACTCTATTCTTTCCCTTTACAACGTTAAATATCTTTATTTTTTCAAATATAAATAGCAAAAGGTCATTTTCTTCTTGTATTGATAAAACTTTGTTTTTTGTTTTTCATATACCATACTTTGTTTTGTCAGCTTGAAAATCCTGGCACAGTTAACCATTCATCAAAATTAGTTCTAGTCATCGACGAATTTAATCGTCATTTATTCTGTTACATAGTTCGCCATTTTGTCATGATTTCGCGCTTTTTGTTGTTTTGTTGCATAACGTAAGTTTTGGTAACTACTTTGGATATTTGTGTCTACTTGTCTATTATAAAATATTCGTGATAATCCCTCTTGCCTCTTACAATCTTTCCTTTTATTCTTTTCTCTCTTCCCATTAGCCGCTTCTCTCACAACTCTTCTACTTCTTCAGTTCTCTCCCTTTTTTCTTTCTCTTTATTCTTTCCCTTTCTCTTCTTATATAGTTCTATACGCCTCTTTTCTCTCTTTCTTACCTCCTCCTCTTTCTTCCCTGTGTTTCTCTCTCTCGCTTTCTCTCGCTCTCTCTCTATCTCTCTCGTGTTCCTGTGTTTCTCTCCCGTGGTTTTCTCTTTCTTTTTCCTCTGCGTCCCTCTCTTTCTTCCTCTCTGCACACACGGTCACCCTCCTCATCTTCTTTGAACTTCGTCACAACGACCGAATAGGCTTTATCCTTATGGTACATAATTACATTTCATCACAAGTGTTTGCATTTTTTTTTTTCGAAACAAATACTAATAAATGTCTGTTTAGCTGAAAGATCTTTTAAATTGTCTTTAAACAGAAAAATTGTAACAAAAGATTACAATTTGTAATAAAAAATCACAGTTTATATAGAATTATCCAAATAGACCGAACCAAGTCTGTGCATTGACTCTGAAGTATATTTTCCCAACTTTTCACAAAATTTAATACATGCGTAAATTGCAGAACCAAAGATGATGAAATATTTCAGATATATACGACATGACACTGAATTTTATAAGTTATAGGCAACCCACAATTTCTGCCATTTTATAAACATATTTTAGGATCAATTATTGCATCATATCGATTTGATTTTTTTTTTTTTTTTTTTTTTTAGGGTCAGGTTAATGACTGCCATTAAAAATGTTATAACTTTTATGCTTCTTTAAATATTGTTTTTTACCTTTTATTTTTAATAAATTTTACTGGGTTAAAATGTCAGAGGGTTAATATGCAGTTTATTACCCACGCTCAGTTCGCATTAAAATTTTCCAGAATATTTACATTTAATGTCCGTGCTTCATTCGAATCTGGCTCGATAAATTTGACAAAATCTACCGTTTTGGAGTTATCGACAGTAAAATTTCGGATTCATTCGCGTCGCGGCAGCCATTACTGGCGTTGTTTGGATATATTTGCTGCGGAATAGCTATCGAGTAATATTCACTTTTCTTGATTATTGCGCACGCAGCGCATAATTGAGCATGTGTACGTAAATAGTTCTTTTGCGTAGTAATTGAGACAAGATGAGACAAGTAAGATCAGTAAAAAAAAAAAGCTCGTTAACTACATTTTTCCGAGTTTAGCTTTCCACAGCGAATGTATGCAAAAAACGCCAGTAATGGTTGCCACCAACGACGCGAATGAATCCGAACTTTTACTGTCGATAACTCTAAAACGGTAGATTTTATCAAATTTACCAAGCCAGATTCGAATGAAGCAGGTACAATTACACAAAAATGTAAGTATTTTTAATGCGAACTGAACGCGGGTACGAAGCTGCAACCGAGAAGTGATCCAGTTAAACACTTTAAAAAGCTATTTTGAAAAATGGGGACAAATTTTAATTCAAGAATTTAGCCGTAATATTGTGCCACTTAGGGTTACATGGCGAACAAACCTTTGCTACTTTTGGAGGTCATATTAAACGAAAAATGATTTTTTAAGCGGGTTGTAGAAGATTTGGATGCCACTGTCTGACTGACAAAGTCTTTGACACCGAGAAATATTTGATGCCAGTTTTCCGTCATGTTTTTGTTTTTTGCTGTTTTTTTTTTTTTTTGCATCGCTTTATAGAATTCAAATTATGTCCCCTGAACATTCTTAACACCGTCGGCCGACAACCTCTTTGGGAAAATGCCATTGTTTTGAAGGATGAGAATAAAAGTTACTAAATGGGGACTTTCTCTCACATTTTTCTCTCTTTCTATCTCTCATTTTCTCTTACATTCGCTCTCTCAAACTCACTCTCACACTCACTCTAAAATTCATTCTCACTCACAATCTCAATGAAAATATAACCCTTTTCTTCAGCTGGTTGAAGACCATTGATAACTCCAGTAAAAGTTATTAAACAAGTACTCTCTCTCCTTCAGTTTCTTTCTCTCTCACTTTCTCTCTCACTTTCTCTCTCACTTTCTCTCTCACTTTCTCTCTCACTTTCTCTCTCACTTTCTCTCTCACTTTCTCTCTCACTTTCTCTCTCACTTTCTCTCTCACTTTCTCTCTCACTTCTCTCTCTCTCTTCTCTCCCCCTCTCTCCTTCCTCCTCTCCCCTCTTTCTCTCTCTCACTTCCTCTCTCCCCTCTCTCACTTCCTCTCTCCCCCTCTCTCACTTCCTCTCACATTCACTCTCTCAGGCTCACACACACTCACTTACAGTTTCAATGAAAATAGAAACTGGTTAAAAATCATTGATAAAGATCAATGATAAATAGTTAACACGGCGAAAATTAAATTTCTGTTTACCTAACAGGAATAATTAAGTCGGGTGTCTCTCAGTATGAGATCATAGTTGACGAATTATTCTGGTTGGCCTTTACAACTGAGTAGAGAGTTCGATTCTCGCTGTCTGTTCCTATACCTCTGGCCTTATGTGAAACAAAGCTTCCCGAATATATAAAGTAATAAATCTGGTTGTATCATGTGAGTTATTCAAAATATGACTTTAAAGAGAAAAAAAAACAGCAAACGAGATTTGGAAGCTGAATCGTCTTTTTATTTTATTTTCATTTTCTTCAGTAAAAATATTTTTTAAATCTGTTGCTTTTCTTTTTGAAGTTGAACAGAAAGAAAACAAATTCTCCGAATTGTGAAGTCACTCTCTTCAGTTTGCAATTCTTGGTTTATTGGAGCGACACAATCAGTGATAGAATGAAATTTGAAATTCGTTTTAATTATAACAAGAAAAAACAAGTAGTTATAATAATTTGCGTCTTTCTTATATAAAGCGTTGATACCTACACGGCCTGTGAGAGGTGAGTATCACAGCTATGACTAGCTTAGACCAGCACTGACCAGCTAAGACCAGCGGCCCAAGTGAAAACACTCGGATCCCCACGTTAAAATCCGACCTGGTGTCACCATCTGACTCAGTGGGGGTCAAGTCAATCTCTACTTACGTGGCACAGGCCGGGTAGGTATCACAGCTGACTAGATTAGACCAGCTCTGACTAGTTTGGACAAGCTATGACCAGCTTAGACCAGCGGCCCGAGGGAAAACACTCGGGTTCCCACGTTAAAAATCGACCTTGTGTCACAACCTGGCTCAGTGGAGGTGGAGTCAAGTAAATCTCTTCTTATAAAACATTGTTAATCATTGTTAATCATTATAACAATAACCTTTTCACTGCTATAGCGTGTGTGATATAAACGCAGAAATATCTCTTGTCTGAATCACCCCTGATATTTGACTACCTAACTCCCCAGACTGCAACACCCTTGATTATTATATGTGGGTCGCAGTTGAGTGAGAGACCAACAAATCTTCTTGTAAGACCAAAGATTAATGCAAGGATTATGGCTGCATTCATCAACAACATTTCGAAGTCGTCTGGAAGCTGTGATTGAAGCCAATGGCGATTTTATCGAATAGATTTACTTTTTCGTATTTCAAGATATTTTTGCGTAATTTTGGTAAAATGAGATGTTATTTTCATTTTGCGTAATTTCGACAATTTATCCATCACATTATGTATATTGCTTTAAGTCTCTTCTTCAACTGTAAGGATATTTTTACTCCTTTAAAACATTGTTGCTTTGCATCAGAGACAAGAAGAATTCTGCAGGATATACATATAGTCTTTATAGTCAGGTTCGGATTATTTTAGTTCAGAGCCTGTAGTAGTAATATGATGAAAGAAAATGCTCGAAAATTGTACAAATTCACATGAATATTAAAACATAAATAACTTGTTAGTTAATTCATTTTTTTATTTATTTATTTATTTTATATACAACCAAATAAATGTCTGATACTACATCAATACTATTACATGCATGTAAGTATCAATTTCACGTGTCAAAAGTTACATTTTCTAGATTTGGATATGAGCAATTCATTGATAAAACTGGAAGACTATATTGATTCCCGCAGATTGGCAACAGACGAGAGATTAGATTGTTTATTCACATATTCTTGTAAAATTGTGAAATATGAGAAATGTTACGTTGTGATAATAATTAGAAACAAAGAAAAAAAGTGCGGGACAATCTCTTTAAAGATGAAGAAGGAACTTAAGGCAACTGAAATGTGGTTCTACAGTGATGCTGAGAATACCATAGACTGAATATGTGAATAATGAGGAAGTTTTAAGGAAGATGGAAATAAAAGGACTGTTATAATTAGAAAGAGATAGTAGCAATGGCTAGGGCGCATAATGAGGAAAGAGGGCTTGGAGAATTTGACACTCACAAATCATCCGGCAAACAAGAGAAACAACGGAAAGCAACGAATTACCTAACTAAGGAGTTTGTGTAAATGGTTCGCAGAACAGGAATTAATAGTAGAAAGACAAACCTTACTAAAAGCTTCAAAGGATAGGAAGATGTGGAGAGAAGTTACCGTAGATAAAATAAACAATAGTAAACGCACGTTGCAAAAACGAATAACTGCCTTTCTGTTAAATGAAATAAAATAATTTTATATCAGATTTTTATACCAATTCTTTTTTTTAATTTTGTAAATTTTATGAACATCTATTAAACTTTCCTATATGATTGAGTTGAATTCCATTTGAATCCATTACATTCACTTGCGTGCTAATACCCTTGAGAAAGTTATGAATCCTCCTCTTCTCCCCCTAGCTATGCGTAGATAGCAGGAAAGACCGAGTTCTATAGCCTTGGATGGCAACTGGTCTACTGCAGAAAGAAATGACAACCTACTGCGGAAAAAAATCTGCCTCATCAGTCATGCATCGAAAGATAAATGATCGCTTAAGCGTGTATCTCGCATGGCGCATAACTAACTGATATGATTGAGTAGTTTCTTTCTCAGAGGGTGTCAATTTTATGACAGTCACGTGTTCGAAATGAACACTGGTTTCCTGTAAAATTGACACTTTCACTTTCACATTTAAGTAGCTTAACAATCGGTATCATTCTTCATTGAACTGTCGTCTACATTTAAGATTTAATCTAACAAACCTCGACATTGCACTTTATTTAACTGCATACATAGGGCTAACAGTCATGAATAACAATATCCAAACATCTGTTTAAATGGCACATGATTCTGGCTGGCAAGCATCATTTGGTTAATGGCCATACACTCACTTTACAATAACTATAAGTTGTCTCTTCCAAAAGATGTGGAAGTAAACCCTTGAGGCGGATATAACACAAGAGGCAAATAAATGTTTGGCGGGTTTAACCAAATTTTCATCATAAATTGACATAACCACTCTTAGTTGTCATTTTTTAATCACCACCCTATTCTATGATATTTGTCCTGGGTATGACGATAAACGACATCCGACAGCTAGGCCTCTGATCGGGAGATTGGGGTTTTTGAAGAGCATGAAACCACCTTTTAACTGCTGTTATTCCCAGGTCCACCTTGGCACGGTGTGGTAGCACCCGTTAGGGTCCCAGCTATGGGCAAATAGTGAAGCGCCAAACAAAAATCTACAGTACATTTTTATAATAAAATGACCAACAATAGATTTTTATAGTAAAATGACAATAATGGAACCCTTTATTTCGCTCAATAGGGTAGACTGCTCCAGTTCCACGTGCCATGTTTAATGGATGTCAGTTATCAGTTATCTCTTGTTAATTCTCGTCTCCGAGTTCTTCACTGCCTTAACCGGGTATTGAACTCACACTCTTTCCTGTCACTGGGTCTAACCAACGCCTTTATCCACTGTGCCATGTGTCCTTGAGCGTACAACGGCTGAAACGTTGTAATAAATATGGCGACAAACATGAGGACAGTTGTCCGAATAATGTAAATAGTGTACATAATACCTTATCTCAGAAATATAGACAGATACTAAAATTACCAACATTACATTTCATTATGTACAAACTATATATCTATAAAAACATACATTTACCCTGAAAGCATAAAGTTACGTACAAAATATTAAGATTTCGGTATTAAATAACCAACAGAGGTGTTGATATTCCGCTAAACAAAATCAATCAACCATATTCTATGATATTAAACCTAATATGACCATAAATTTATCGGTCACACATTCTGATCTTTTTCTTCGCATAAACGAATATTTCATTACTAATACGAAGCATTATTCGAAGATAAATGAACAAGCCTCATGTTAACAGAACTTTTTAACATCTTGTTAGAAAGCAAGGTAGGGATATTTATTACTTTTAATCATTTAAAACGGATAATTCTTTCTCACACGTGACAATAGTTAATTGTATTTAAAAAAAAATGTCCGCTGATATGAAGTAGAAGGAATATATTGAATTAATTGATAGGTCTGCCGCTAGGAAAGTTGGTTCACTGTGCCATGCTAGGCAACTTTTATCTTACACATTTATAGATCTACCATTTATTCGTGTATTGAATATCGCTATCACATCTGGTCTGGTGTTTCTGCTATGCATTTAGAGATTCTAGAAAAAAAATACAGCGAATCAGCAATGTTATTATTCCTGACCTGGCACCTCGGCTTCAGTCGCTTCCCCACCGCCGTAACGTGCCCTTTCTGTATCTTTTTTTTATAAATATTTTCATGGTAATTATTCTGATGAACTCCCCTCTTTGGAACCTAAACTTTATGAATTTAAGCACAGTATCAGATTAGCAGCAAGGTCTTGTCGTTTTACAATGGAAATGGCTAGATATAACCGTAAGTTCTATGCTAAAAGTTTCT